ATGATCATTGACATGATCGTCATCACAATCATCATCATCACCACCATCAGCAGCATCGACATCATCATCAGCATCATGATCATCAGCATCATCAGCATCCTCAGCATCAAAATCATCAGAATCGTCAGCCTCATCCTCATCCTTCCTATCATCCTCCCCCTCGTCCCCCTGCTCCTCCCTACTCCTCCTTCCCCTAATTCCTCCGCATCCTCCTCGTCATCAGCATCATCATGGGCAGCATCATCATGACCATCAACATCATTGTCATCATCATCGCCGACAGCATCGGCATCATCAGCATCGGCGCAATTACCATCGCCAAAATCATCATCAACATCATCAGAAGCAGCACTATCATCATCCTCAATCCCCGTCTCCCTCACCCCCATCCTCACCCTCATCATCATCCTCATCATAGTCATCATCATGATCATCATCATCATCATCATCAGCAGCAGCAGCGGCAGCAGCAGCAGCAACATCATCATCGTCATCATTGTCGTCGTCATATTCGTCATCACCTCCCTCCTAGTCATCACCGTCGCCATAACAACCACCACTACCACTACCATCATGATCGTCAACACCGTCGTCATCACTATCATCGTTGCCACAGCCATCATCATCATCCTCATCATCATCATCGTCGTCATCATCAGCATCATCATCATCGTCATCAGCATCAGCATCATCATCGGAATTAGCATCCGAACCGTTCTCCACATCGTCGTCATCACCACCGTACTCATCACAATCAGCATCGCAATCGTCGTCATCCACGTCCTCCTCCTCCTCCTCGTCCTCTCTCTATCTCTCTCTCTCTCTCTCTTGTTTCTCTCTCTTGGTTCTCTCTCTCTCTCTCTGTCGTTCTCTCTCTCTCTCTCTCTTTCTCTGTATGTCATACATAGATGTGTATGTATGCATGCATACATGTATGTATGTCTGTCTGTCTGTCTGTCTGTATGTATGTATGTATGGCACTGGTTCTTCCGTTCCAGGAAAGCCTCCCACATCCCGCCGAGCCCATCCTTGCGGATCAGCCGCGCCTGCAGATCCTCGACGCTGCGCCTGGTCTTGTGGGGACGAGCAAAGAGGGGCAGGATAAGGACAACACGGCTTGGAACTGTTGCTTAGCGTGTCGCAGCAGCGGACACGACACGCTAGAGTAGACACATACGATAAGGAACCCTACTATACGAAATCCAGAGACACACCCTTCGTCGACGCTGACCTTCGCAGGACGCCCGAGGCCTCTGCGGGCCCATCGAGCGATAAAAAAAACATCGCGATGCGCCCATTTGCTTGAAGCGCGCGCGCACGGTCGTAGCAGCAGCGGCCCCTTCGCTCGCAGCTCTCAAGGCCGCCGTGCTAACGAGGCGGCCGCCTCGAAGGGCGTGTGCTCTCGGCTCCGCCTCGCCATTCGGGAGGGCCTCGTCATCCAGGAGGGCCACAACTGCTCTAGGGCGGGAAGCAGGAGAGGGCAGAGGAGGATAAGAACGGGAGGAGGAGGAAGAAGAGGAAGAGGAGGGGGAACTGAGGAGGAGAAAAGAGGGAGCGGAGAGAAAAGAGAAGGCACGCACCGGGAATCCAAAAGGTCTGAGAGCAGTCCCGGCCAAGAGACAGTCAGTAGGGGAAGGAGGAGCAGCACACGGAGGGGAAGGGGAGAGGAGGAGGCAGAGGATGAAGCTCGTAACCTTCCTTCTCATCCTCCTCCTCATCCTCCTTATCTTCGTCCTCTTCGTCATCCTCGTCCTCCTCCTCCTCCTCCTCCTCCCCTTCGTCATCCTTCTCTTCCTCCTCCTTCTCCTCTTCGTCAGCTTCGTCCTCCTCCTCCTCCTGCTCCTCTTCCTCCTCCTCGCAGTCCCTCCACGAGCGTGCGGAAGCCTCGCGCGGAGCGGGCCGCACGAAGCA